GGTCCGCGTGTTCGTTGGACCAACGAGCCAGATGGTCCGCGTGTTTGTTGGACCAACGAGCCAGTTGGTCCGCGTTTTTTGATGGACCAACGAGCCAGTTGCGTCCGCGTGTTCGATTTATAAACCAACGAGCCAGCTGGTCCACGTGTTTGTTGGACCAACGAGCCAGTTGGTCCACGTGTTTGTTGGACCAACAAGCCAGCTGGTCCACGTGTTTGATGGACCAACAAGCCAGCTGGTCCACGTGTTTGATGGACCAACGAGCCAGCTGGTCCACGTGTTTGACCAACAGCCCAGTGGTCCACGTGTTTGTTGGACCAACAAGCCAGCTGGTCCACGTGTTTGATGGACCAACAAGCCAGCTGGTCCACGTGTTTGATGGACCAATCAAGCCCAAGCTGGTCCACGTGTTTGTTGGACCAACAAGCCAGCTGGTCCACGTGTTTGTTGGACCAACAAGCCAGCTGGTCCACGTGTTCGATGGACCAACAAGCCAGCTGGTCCACGTGTTTGATGGACCAACAAGCCAGCTGGTCCACGTGTTTGATGGACCAACAAGCCAGCTGGTCCACGTGTTTGTTGGACCAACAAGCCAGCTGGTCCACGTGTTTGATGGACCAACAAGCCAGCTGGTCCACGTGTTTGATGGACCAACAAGCCAGCTGGTCCACGTGTTCGATGGACCAACAAGCCAGCTGGTCCACGTGTTTGTTGGACCAACAAGCCAGCTGGTCCACGTGTTTGATGGACCAACAAGCCAGCTGGTCCACGTGTTTGATGGACCAACAAGCCAGCTGGTCCACGTGTTCGTTGGACCAACAAGCCAGTTGGTCCACGTGTTCGATGGACCAACAAGCCAGTTGGTCCACGTGTTCGATGGACCAACAAGCCAGTTGGTCCCCGTCTTCGTTGGACCAACAAGCCAGTTGGTCCACGTGTTTGTTGGACCAACAAGCCAGTTGGACCAACTGGCTAGTTGGTCCACGTGTTCGATGGACCAACAAGCCAGTTGGTCCACGCGTTCGATGGACCAACAAGCCAGTTGGTCCACGCGTTCGATGGACCAACAAGCCAGTTGGTCCACGCGTTCGATGGACCAACAAGCCAGTTGGTCCACGCGTTCGATGGGCCAACAAGCCAGTTGGTCACAGCGTTCGTTGGACCAACAAGCCAGTTGGTCCACGCGTTCGATGGACCAACAAGCCAGTTGGTCCACGCGTTCGATGGACCAACAAGCCAGTTGGTCCACGCGTTCGATGGACCAACAAGCCAGTTGGTCCACGCGTTCGATGGACCAACAAGCCAGTTGGTCCACGCGTTCGATGGACCAACAAGCCAGTTGGTCCACGCGTTCGATGGACCAACACGACAGTTGGTCCACGCGTTCGATGACCAACAAGGACAGTTGGTCCACGCGTTCGATGGACCAACAAGCCAGTTGGTCCACGCGTTCGATGGACCAACAAGCCAGTTGGTCCACGCGTTCGATGGACAACAAGCCAGTTGGTCACGCGTTCGATGGACCAACAACCAACAGCCAGTTGGTCCACGCGTTCGATGGACCAACAAGCCAGTTGGTCCACGCGTTCGATGGACCAACAACCAACAAGCCAGTTGGTCCACGCGTTCGATGGACCAACAAGCCAGTTGGTCCACGCGTTCGATGGACCAAACTGGACCAACAAGCCAGTTGGTCCACGCGTTCGATGGACCAACAAGCCAGTTGGTCCACGCGCTCGATGGACCAACAAGCCAGTTGGTCCACGCGCTCGATGGACCAACAAGCCAGTTGGTCCACGCGCTCGATGGACCAACAAGCCAGTTGGTCCACGCGCTCGATGGACCAACAAGCCAGTTGGTCCACGCGCTCGATGGACCAACAAGCCAGTTGGTCCACGCGTTCGTTGGACCAACAAGCCAGTTGGTCCACGCGCTCGATGGACCAACAAGCCAGTTGGTCCACGCGCTCGATGGACCAACAAGCCAGTTGGTCCACGCGCTCGATGGACCAACAAGCCAGTTGGTCCACGCGTTCGATGGACCAACAAGCCAGTTGGTCCACGCGCTCGTTGGACCAACAAGCCAGTTGGTCCACGCGCTCGTTGGACCAACAAGCCAGTTGGTCCACGCGCTCGATGGACCAACAAGCCAGTTGGTCCACGCGCTCGATGGACCAACAAGCCAGTTGGTCCACGCGCTCGATGGACCAACAAGCCAGTTGGTCCACGCGCTCGATGGACCAACAAGCCAGTTGGTCCACGCGCTCGATGGACCAACAAGCCAGTTGGTCCACGCGCTCGATGGACCAACAAGCCAGTTGGTCCACGCGCTCGATGGACCAACAAGCCAGTTGGTCCACGCGCTCGATGGACCAACAAGCCAGTTGGTCCACGCGCTCGATGGACCAACAAGCCAGTTGGTCCACGCGCTCGATGGACCAACAAGCCAAATGGTCCACGCGTTCGATGGACCAACAAGCCAGTTGGTCCACGCGCTCGATGGACCAACAAGCCAGTTGGTCCACGCGCTCGATGGACCAACAAGCCAGTTGGTCCACGTGTTCGATGGACCAACAAGCCAGCTGGTCCACGTGTTCGATGGACCAACAAGCCAGCTGGTCCACGCGTTCGATGGACCAACAAGCCAGTTCGTCCACCCGTTCGATGGACCAACAAGCCAGCTGGTCCACGCGTTCGATGGACGAACAAGCCAGCTGGTCACGCGTTCGATGGACCAACAAGCCAGCTGGTCCACGTGTTCGATGGACCAACAAGCCAGCTGGTCCACGTGTTCGATGGACCAACAAGCCAGCTGGTCCACGTGTTCGATGGACCAACAAGCCAGCTGGTCCACGCGTTCGATGGACCAACAATGGTCCACGTGTTCGATGGACCAACAAGCCAGCTGGTCCACGTGTTCGATGGACCAACAAGCCAGCTGGTCCACGTGTTCGATGGACCAACAAGCCAGCTGGTCCACGTGTTCGATGGACCAACAAGCCAGCTGGTCCACGCGTTCGATGGACCAACAAGCCAGTTGGTCCACGCGTTCGATGGACCAACAAGCCAGTTGGTCCACGCGTTCGATGGACCAACAAGCCAGTTGGTCCACGAACAAGCCAGTTGGTCCTCGTATTCGATGGACCAACAAGCCAGCTGGTCCACGTGTTCGATGGACCAACAAGCCAGTTGGTCCACGTGTTCGATGGACCAACAAGCCAGCTGGTCCACGTGTTCGATGGACCAACAAGCCAGCTGGTCCACGTGTTCGATGGACCAACAAGCCAGCTGGTCCACGTGTTCGATGGACCAACAGGTCAGCTGGTCCACGTGTTCGATGGACCAACAAGCCAGTTGGTCCACGTGTTCGATGGACCAACAAGCCAGTTGGTCCACGTGTTCGATGGACCAACAAGCCAGTTGGTCCACGTGTTCGATGGACCAACAAGCCAGTTGGTCCACGTGTTCGATGGACCAACAAGCCAGCTGGTCCACGTGTTCGATGGACCAACAAGCCAGCTGGTCCACGTGTTCGATGGACCAACAAGCCAGCTGGTCCACGTGTTCGATGGACCAACAAGCCAGTTGGTCCACGTGTTCGATGGACCAACAAGCCAGCTGGTCCACGTGTTCGATGGACCAACAAGCCAGCTGGTCCACGTGTTCGATGGACCAACAAGCCAGCTGGTCCACGTGTTCGATGGACCAACAAGCCAGGTGGTCGACGTGTTCGATGGACCAACAAGCCAGCTGGTCCACGTGTTCGATGGACCAACAAGCCAGCTGGTCCACGTGTTCGATGGACCAACAAGCCATCTGGTCCAACCGGGTTGTTGGACCAACAAGCCAGTTGGTCGACGTGTTTGATGGACCAATGAGCCAGGTGGTCGACGTGTTTGATGGACCAACGAGCCAGTTGGTCCACGTGTTTGATGGACCAACGAGCCAGTTGGTCCACGTGTTTGATGGACCAACGAGCCAGTTGGTCGACGTGTTTGTTGGACCAACGAGCCAGTTGGTCCACGTGTTTGATGGACCAACGAGCCAGTTGGTCGACGTGTTTGATGGACCAACAAGCCAGTTGGTCCGCGTGCTTGACGTGTTTGTTGGACCAACAAGCCAGCTGGTCCGCGTGTTTGTTGGACCAACAAGCCAGCTGGTCCGCGTGTTTGTTGGACCAACAAGCCAGCTGGTCCGCGTGTTTGTTGGACCAACAAGCCAGCTGGTCCGTATCTTTGTTGGACCAACAAGCCAGCTGGTCCGCGTGTTTGTTGGACCAACAAGCCAGCTGGTCCGCGTGTTTGTTGGACCACAAGCTAGCTGGTCCGCGTGTTTGTTGGACCAACAAGCCAGCTGGTCCGCGTGTTTGTTGGACCAACAAGCCAGCTGGTCCGCGTGTTTGTTGGACCAACAAGCCAGCTGGTCCGCGTGTTTGATGGACCAACAAGCCAGCTGGTCCGCGTGTTTGATGGACCAACAAGCCAGCTGGTCCGCGTGTTTGATGGACCAACAAGCCAGCTGGTCCACGTGTTTGATGGACCAACAAGCCAGCTGGTCCACGTGTTTGATGGACCAACAAGCCAGCTGGTCCACGTGTTTGATGGACCAACAAGCCAGTTGGTCGACGTGTTTGTTGGACCAACAAGCCAGTTGGTCGACGTGTTTGTTGGACCAACAAGCCAGTTGGTCGACGTGTTTGTTGGACCAACAAGCCAGTTGGTGGACGTTGTTTGTTGGACCAACAAGCCAGTTGGTCCACGTGTTTGATGGACCAACAAGCCAGCTGGTCCACGTGTTTGATGGACCAACAAGCCAGCTGGTCCACGTGTTTGTTGGACCAACAAGCCAGTTGGTCCACGTGTTTGTTGGACCAACAAGCCAGTTGGTCCACGTGTTTGTTGGACCAACAAGCCAGCTGGTCCACGTGTTTGTTGGACCAACAAGCCAGCTGGTCCACGTGTTTGTTGGACCAACAAGCCAGCTGGTCCACGTGTTTGATGGACCAACAAGCCAGCTGGTCCACGTGTTTGATGGACCAACAAGCCAGCTGGTCCACGTGTTTGATGGACCAACAAGCCAGCTGGTCCACGTGTTTGATGGACCAACAAGCCAGCTGGTCCACGTGTTTGATGGACCAACAAGCCAGCTGGTCCACGTGTTTGATGGACCAACAAGCCAGTTGGTCCACGTGTTTGTTGGACCAACAAGCCAGCTGGTCCACGTGTTTGATGGACCAACAAGCCAGCTGGTCCACGTGTTTGTTGGACCAACAAGCCAGCTGGTCCACGTGTTTGATGGACCAACAAGCCAGCTGGTCCACGTGTTTGATGGACCAACAAGCCAGCTGGTCCACGTGTTTGATGGACCAACAAGCCAGCTGGTCCACGTGTTCGTTGGACCAACAAGCCAGTTGGACCAACTGGCTAGTTGGTCCACGCGCTCGATGGACCAACAAGCCAGTTGGTCCACGCGCTCGATGGACCAACAAGCCAGTTGGTCCACGCGCTCGATGGACCAACAAGCCAGTTGGTCCACGCGCTCGATGGACCAACAAGCCAGTTGGTCCACGCGCTCGTTGGACCAACAAGCCAGTTGGTCCACGCGCTCGTTGGACCAACAAGCCAGTTGGTCCACGCGCTCGATGGACCAACAAGCCAGTTGGTCCACGCGCTCGATGGACCAACAAGCCAGTTGGTCCACGCGCTCGATGGACCAACAAGCCAGTTGGTCCACGCGCTCGATGGACCAACAAGCCAGTTGGTCCACGCGCTCGATGGACCAACAAGCCTGTTGGTCCACGCGCTCGTTGGACCAACAAGCCAGTTGGTCCACGCGCTCGATGGACCAACAAGCCAGTTGGTCCACGCGCTCGATGGACCAACAAGCCAGTTGGTCCACGCGCTCGATGGACCAACAAGCCAGTTGGTCCACGCGCTCGATGGACCAACAAGCCAGTTGGTCCACGCGCTCGATGGACCAACAAGCCAGTTGGTCCACGCGCTCGTTGGACCAACAAGCCAGTTGGTCCACGCGCTCGATGGACCAACAAGCCAGTTGGTCCACGCGCTCGATGGACCAACAAGCCAGTTGGTCCACGCGCTCGCTTTCCATCACCCCGCCCAATTCTCCCGCTTTCCATCACCCCGCCCCATTTTCCCGCTTTCTATCACCCCGCCCAATTCTCTTGCTTTCCATCACCCCGCCCCATTCTCCCTCTTTCCATCACCTCGCCCCATTCTCCCTCTTTCCATCACCCCGCCCCATTCTCCCGCTTTCCATCACCCCGCCCCATTCTCCCGCTTTCTATCACCTCGCCCCATTCTCCCACTTTCAATCACCCCACTCCATTCTCCCGCTTTCCATCACCCCGCCCCATTCTCCCGCTTTCCATCACCCCGCCCCATTCTCCCTCTTTCCATCACCCCGCCCCATTCTCCCGCTTTCCATCACCTCGCCCCATTCTCCAGCTTTCCATCACCTCACTCCATTCTCCCGCTTTCCATCACCTCGCCCAATTCTCCCGCTTTCCATCATCCCTCCCCATTCTCCCTCTTTCCATCACCCCGCCCCGTTCTCCCTCTTTCCATCATCCCGCCCCGTTCTCCCGCTTTTTATCACCCCCGCCCTATTCTCCTCTTTCCATCACCCCGCACGATTCTCCCGCTTTCCATCACCCCGCCCCATTCTCCCTCTTTCCATCACCCCGGCCCATTCTCCCTCTTTCCATCACCCCGCCCCATTCTCCCTGCTTCCATCACCTCGCCCCATTCTCCCGTTTTCCATCACCCCTCCCCATTCTCCCTCTTTCCATCACCCCGCCCCATTCTCGCGCGGGATTTCCATCACCCCGCCCCATTCTCCCGATTTCCATCACCCCGCCCCATTCTCCCGCTTTCCATCACCCCGCCCCATTCTCCCGCTTTCCATCACCGCGCCCCATTCTACCGCTTTCCATCACCGCGCCCATTCTCCCTCTTTCCATCACCCCACCCCATTCTCCCTCTTTCCATCACCCCGCCCCATTCTCCCGCTTTCCATCACCCCGCCCCATTCTCCCGATTTCCATCACCCCGCCCCATTCTCCCTCTTTCCATCACCCCGCCCCATTCTCCCGCTTTCCATCACCCTGCCCCATTCTCCCGCTTTCCATCATCCCGCCCCATTCTCCCTCTTTCCATCACCCCGCCCCATTCTCCCTCTATCCATCACCCCGCCCCATTCTCCCGCTTTCCATCGCCCCGCCCCATTCTCCCGCTTTCCATCACCCCGCCCTATTCTCTTGCTTTCCATCACCCCACCCCATTCTCCCTCTTTCCATCACCCCGCCCCATTCTCCCTCTTTCCATCACCCCGCTCCATTCTCTCGCTTTCCATCGCCCCATTCTCCCGCTTTCCATCACCCCGCCCCATTCTCCCGCTTTCCATCACCCCGCCCCATTCTCCCTCTTTCCATCACCCCGCCCCATTCTCACTCTATCCATCACCCCGCCCAATTCTCCCGCTTTCCATCACCCCGCCCCATTTTCCCGCTTTCCATCACCCCGCCCCATTCTCTTGCCTTCCATCACCCCGCCCCATTCTCCCTCTTTCCATCACCCCGCCCCATTCTCACTCTATCCATCACCCTACCCAATTCTCCCGCTTTCCATCACCCCGCCCCATTTTCCCGCTTTCCATCACCCCGCCCCATTCTCCCTCTTTCCATCACCCCGCCCCATTCTCACTCTATCCATCACCCCGCCCAATTCTCCCGCTTTCCATCACCCCGCCCCATTTTCCCGCTTTCCATCACCCCGCCCCATTCTCCCTCTTTCCATCACCTCGCCCCATTCTCCCTCTTTCCATCACCCCGCCCTATTCTCCCGCTTTCCATCACCTCGCCCCATTCTCCCGCTTTCCATCACCCCACTCCATTCTCCCGCTTTCCATCACCCCGCCCCATTCTCCCGCTTTCCATCACCCCGCCCCATTCTCCCTCTTTCCATCACCCCGCCTCATTCTCCCGCTTTCCATCACCTCGCCCCATTCTCCCGCTTTCCATCACCTCGCCCAATTCTCCCGCTTTCCATCATCCCTCCTTATTCTCCCTCTTTCCATCACCCCGGCCCATTCTCCCTCTTTCCATCACCCCGCCCCATTCTCCCGCTTTCTATCACCCCGCCCCATTCTCCCTCTTTCCATCACCCCGCACGATTTTCCCGCTTTCCATCACCCCGCCCCATTCTCCCTCTTTCTATCACCCCGCCCCATTCTCCCTCTTTCCATCACCCCGCCCCATTCTCCCTGCTTCCATCACCTCGCCCCATTCTCCCGCTTTCCATCACCCCGCTCCATTCTCCCTCTTTCCATCACCCCGCCCCATTCTCGCGCTTTCCATCACCCCGCCCCATCCTCTCGATTTCCATCACCCCGCCCCATTCTCCCGCTTTCCATCACCCCGCCCCATTCTCCCGCTTTCCATCACCCCGCCCCATTCTACCGCTTTCCATCACAGCGCCCCATTCTCCCTCTTTCCATCACCCCGCCCCATTCTCCATCTTTTCATCACCCCGCCCCGTTCTCCCGCTTTCCATCACCCCGCCCCATTCTCCCGATTTCCATCACCCCGCCCCATTCTCCCGCTTTCCACCACCCCGCCCCATTCTCCCGCTTTCCATCACCCCGCCCCATTCTCCTGCTTTCCATCACCCCGCCCCATTCTCCCTCTTTCCATCACCCCGCCCCATTCTCCCGATTTCCATCACCCCGCCTCATTCTCCTACTTTCCATCACCCCTCCCCATTCTCCCGCTTTCCATCACCCGCCCCATTCTCCCGCTTTCCATCACCCCGCCCCATTCTCCCGCTTTCCATCACTCCGCCCCATTCTCCCGCTTTCCATCACCCCGCCCCATTCTCCCGCTTTCCATCACCCCGCCCCATTCTTCCGCTTTCCATCACCCCGCCCCATTCTCCCGCTTTCCATCACCCCACCCCATTCTCCCGCTTTCCATCACCCCGCCCCATTCTCCCGCTTTTCATCACCCCGCCCCATTCTCCCGCTTTCCATCACCCCGCCCCATTCTCTCGCTTTCCATCACCCCGCCCCATTCTCCCGCTTTCCATCACCCCGCCCCATTCTCCCGCTTTCCATCACCCCGCCCCATTCTCCCGCTTCCCATCACCCCCTCCCTATTCTCCCTGTATCATCACCCCACCCCATTCTCCCGCTTTCCATCACCCCGCCCCATTCTCCCTCTTTCCATCACCCCGCCCCATTCTCCCGCTTTCCATCACCCCGCCCCATTCTCCCGCTTTCCATCACCCCGCCCCATTCTCCCGCTTTCCATCACCCCGCCCCATTCTCCCGCTTTCCATCACTCCGCCCCATTCTCCCGCTTTCTATCACCCCGCCCCATTCTCCGCCCCATTCTCCCGCTTTCCATCACCCCGCCCTATTTTCCCGCTGTCCATAACCCCGCCCCATTCTCCCGCTTTCCATCACCCCGCCCCATTCTCCCGCTTTCCATCACCCCGCCCCATTCTCCCTCTTTCCATCACCCCGCCCCATTCTCCCTCTTTCCATCACCCTGCCCCATTCTCCCTCCTTCCATCACCCCGCCCCATTCTCCCGTTTTCCATCACCTCGCCACATTCTCCGCTTTCCATCACCCCGCCCCATTCTCCCTCTTTCCATCACCCCACCCCATTCTCCCGCTTTCCATCAACCCGCCCCATTCTCCCGCTTTCCGTCACCCCGCCCCATTCTCCCGCTTTCCATCACCCCGCCCCATTCTCCCTCTTTCCATCACCCCGCCCCATTCTCCCGCTTTCCATCACCCCGCCCTATTCTCCCTCTTTCCATCACCCCGCCCCATTCTCCTTCTTTCCATCACCCCGCCTCATTCTCCCTCTTTCCATCACCCCACTCCATTCCCTTCTCCCGCTTTCCATCACCCCGCCCCATTCTCCCACTTTCCATCACCCCGCCCCATTCTCCCTCTTTCCATCACCCCGCCCCATTCTCCCGCTTTCCATCACCCCGCCCCATTCTCCCGATTTCCATCACCCCGCCCCATTCAACCGCTTTCCATCACCCCGCCCCATTCTCCCTCTTTCCATCACCCCGCCCCATTCTGGTCCACGTGTTTGTTGGACCAACAAGCCAGTTGGTCCACGTGTTTGTTGGACCAACAAGCCAGTTGGTCCACGTGTTTGTTGGACCAACAAGCCAGTTGCTCCACGTGTTTGTTGGACCAACAAGCCAGTTGCTCCACGTGTTTGTTGGACCAACAAGCCAGTTGCTCCACGTGTTTGTTGGACCAACAAGCCAGTTGCTCGACCTGTTGTTGGACCAACAAGCCAGTTGGTCGACGTGTTTGATGGACCAACAAGCCAGGTGGTCGACGTGTTTGATGGACCAACAAGCCAGGTGGTCGACGTGTTTGATGGACCAACAAGCCAGGTGGTCGACGTGTTTGTTGGACCAACAAGCCAGGTGGTCAACGCGTTTGTTGGACCAACAAGCCAGTTGGTCGACGTGTTTGATGGACCAACAAGCCAGGTGGTCGACGTGTTTGATGGACCAACAAGCCAGGTGGTCGACGAGTTTGATGGAGTAACAAGCCAGCTGGTCCACGTGTTTGTTGGACCAACAAGCAAGGTTGTCCACGTGTTTGTTGGACCAACAAGCCAGTTGGTCCACGTGTTTCATGGACCAACAAGCCAGGTTGTCCACGTGTTTGTTGGACCAACAAGCCAGTTGGTCGACGTGTTTGATGGACCAACAAGCCAGTTGGTCCACGTGTTTGTTGGACCAATAGCCAGTTGGTCGACGTGTTTGTTGGACCAACAAGCCAGGTGGTCGACGTGTTTGATGGACCAACAAGCCAGTTGGTCCACGTGTTTGATGGACCAACAAGCCAGCTGGTCCACGTGTTTGATGGACCAACAAGCCAGCTGGTCCACGTGTTTGATGGACCAACAAGCCAGTTGGTCCACGTGTTTGTTGGACCAACAAGCCAGTTGGTCCACGTGTTTGTTGGACCAACAAGCCAGCTGGTCCGCGTGTTTGTTGGACCAACAAGCCAGCTGGTCCGCGTGTTTGTTGGACCAACAAGCCAATTGGTCCGCGTGTTTGTTGGACCAACAAGCCAGTTGGTCCGCGTGTTTGATGGACCAACAAGCCAGTTGGTCCGCGTGTTTGATGGACCAACAAGCCAGTTGGTCCGCGTGTTTGATGGACCAACAAGCCAGTTGGTCCGCGTGTTTGATGGACCAACAAGCCAGTTGGTCCGCGTGTTTGATGGACCAACAAGCCAGTTGGTCCGCGTGTTTGATGGACCAACAAGCCAGTTGGTCCGCGTGTTTGATGGACCAACAAGCCAGTTGGTCCGCGTGTTTGATGGACCAACAAGCCAGGTGGTCGACGTGTTTGATGGACCAACGAGCCAGTTGGTCGACGTGTTTGATGGACCAACGAGCCAGTTGGTCGACGTGTTTGATGGACCAACGAGCCAGGTGGTCGACGTGTTTGATGGACCAACGAGCCAGTTGGTCGACGTGTTTGATGGACCAACGAGCCAGTTGGTCGACGTGTTTGATGGACCAACGAGCCAGTTGGTCGACGTGTTTGTTGGACCAACGAGCCAGTTGGTCCACGTGTTTGTTGGACCAACAAGCCAGTTGGTCGACGTGTTTGATGGACCAACAAGCCAGCTGGTCCGCGTGTTTGTTGGACCAACAAGCCAGCTGGTCCGCGTGTTTGTTGGACCAACAAGCCAGCTGGTCCACGTGTTTGATGGACCAACAAGCCAGCTGGTCCACGTGTTCGTTGGACCAACAAGCCAGTTGGACCAACTGGCTAGTTGGTCCACGCGCTCGATGGACCAACAAGCCAGTTGGTCCACGCGCTCGATGGACCAACAAGCCAGTTGGTCCACGCGCTCGATGGACCAACAAGCCAGTTGGTCCACGCGCTCGATGGACCAACAAGCCAGTTGGTCCACGCGCTCGTTGGACCAACAAGCCAGTTGGTCCACGCGCTCGTTGGACCAACAAGCCAGTTGGTCCACGCGCTCGATGGACCAACAAGCCAGTTGGTCCACGCGCTCGATGGACCAACAAGCCAGTTGGTCCACGCGCTCGATGGACCAACAAGCCAGTTGGTCCACGCGCTCGATGGACCAACAACCCAGCTGGTCTACGCGCTCGATGGACCAACAAGCCAGTTGGTCCACGCGCTCGTTGGACCAACAAGCCAGTTGGTCCACGCGCTCGATGGACCAACAAGCCAGTTGGTCCACGCGCTCGATGGACCATAAGCCAGTTGGTCCACGCGCTCGATGGACCAACAAGCCAGTTGGTCCACGCGCTCGATGGACCAACAAGCCAGTTGGTCCACGCGCTCGATGGACCAACAAGCCAGTTGGTCCACGCGCTCGTTGGACCAACAAGCCAGTTGGTCCACGCGCTCGATGGACCAACAAGCCAGTTGGTCCACGCGCTCGATGGACCAACAAGCCAGTTGGTCCACGCGCTCGCTTTCCATCACCCCGCCCAATTCTCCCGCTTTCCATCACCACGCCCCATTTTCCCGCTTTCTATCACCCCGCCCAATTCTCTTGCTTTCCATCACCCCGCCCCATTCTCCCTCTTTCCATCACCTCGCCCCATTCTCCCTCTTTCCATCACCCGCCCCATTCTCCCGCTTTCCATCACCCCGCCCCATTCTCCCGCTTTCCATCACCTCGCCCCATTCTCCCGCTTTCCATCACCCCACTCCATTCTCCCGCTTTCCATCACCCCGGCCCATTCTCCCGCTTTCCATCACCCCGCCCCATTCTCCCTCTTTCCATCACCCCGCCCCATTCTCCCGCTTTCCATCACCTCGCCCCATTCTCCAGCTTTCCATCACCTCACTCCATTCTCCCGCTTTCCATCACCTCGCCCAATTCTCCCGCTTTCCATCATCCCTCCCCATTCTCCCTCTTTCCATCACCCCGCCCCGTTCTCCCTCTTTCCATCACCCCGCCCCATTCTCCCGCTTTCTATCACCCCGCCCCATTCTCCCTCTTTCTATCACCCCGCACGATTCTCCCGCTTTCCATCACCCCGCCCCATTCTCCCTCTTTCTATCACCCCGCCCCATTCTCCCTCTTTCCATCACCCCGCCCCATTCTCCCTGCTTCCATCACCTCGCCCCATTCTCCCGCTTTCCATCACCCCGCTCCATTCTCCCTCTTTCCATCACCCCGCCCCATTCTCGCGCTTTCCATCACCCCGCCCCATTCTCCCGATTTCCATCACCCCGCCCCATTCTCCCGCTTTCCATCACCCCGCCCCATTCTCCCGCTTTCCATCACCCCGCCCCATTCTACCGCTTTCCATCACAGCGCCCCATTCTCCCTCTTTCCATCACCCCGCCCCATTCTCCATCTTTTCATCACCCCGCCCCATTCTCCCGCTTTCCATCACCCCGCCCCATTCTCCCGATTTCCATCACCCCGCCCCATTCTCCCGCTTTCCATCACCCCGCCCCATTCTCCCGCTTTCCATCACCCCGCCCCATTCTCTCGCTTTCCATCACCCCGCCCCGTTCTCCCTCTTTCCATCACCCCGCCCCATTCTCCCGATTTCCATCACCCCGCCTCATTCTCCCGCTTTCCATCACCCCTCCCCATTCTCCCGCTTTCCATCACCCGCCCCATTCTCCCGCTTTCCATCACCCGCCCCATTCTCCCGCTTTCCATCAACCCGCCCCATTCTCCCGCTTTCCATCACCCCACCCCATTCTCCCGCTTTCCATCACCCCGCCCCATTCTTCCGCTTTCCATCACCCCGCCCCATTCTCCCGCTTTCCATCACCCCACCCCATTCTCCCGCTTTCCATCACCCCGCCCCATTCTCCTGCTTTCCATCACCCCGCCCCATTCTCCCGCTTTCCATCACCCCGCCCCATTCTCCCGCTTTCCCTCACCCCGCCCCATTCTCCCGCTTTCCATCACCCCGGCCCATTCTCCCGCTTTCCATCACCCCGCCCCATTCTCCCGCTTCCCATCACCCCTCCCTATTCTCCCTGTATCATCACCCCACCCCATTCTCCCGCTTTCCATCACCCCGCCCCATTCTCCCTCTTTCCATCACCCCGCCCCATTCTCCCGCTTTCCATCACCCCGCCCCATTCTCCCGCTTTCCATCACCCCGCCCCATTCTCCCGCTTTCCATCACCCCACCCCATTCTCCCGCTTTCCATCACTCCGCCCCATTCTCCCGCTTTCTATCACCCCGCCCCATTCTCCCGCTTTTCATCACCCCGCCCCATTCTCCCGCTTTCCATCACCCCGCCCTATTTTCCCGCTGTCCATAACCCCGCCCCATTCTCCCGCTTTCCATCATCCCGCCCCATTCTCCCGCTTTCCATCACCCCGCCCCATTCTCCCGCTTTCCATCACCCCGCCCCATTCTCCCTCTTTCCATCACCCTGCCCCATTCTCCCTCCTTCCATCACCCCGCCCCATTCTCCCGTTTTCCATCACCTCGCCACATTCTCCCGCTTTCCATCACCCCGCCCCATTCTCCCTCTTTCCATCACCCCTTCCCTCTTTCCATCACCCCACCCCATTCTCCCGCTTTCCATCAACCCGCCCCATTCTCCCGCTTTCCGTCACCCCGCCCCATTCTCCCGCTTTCCATCACCCCGCCCCATTCTCCCTCTTTCCATCACCCCGCCCCATTCTCCCGCTTTCCATCACCCCGCCCTATTCTCCCTCTTTCCATCACCCCGCCCCATTCTCCTTGTTAATTTCCATCACCCCGCCCCATTCTCCCTCTTTCCATCACCCCACTCCATTCTCCCGCTTTCCATCACCCCGCCCCATTCTCCCACTTTCCATCACCCCGCCCCATTCTCCCTCTTTCCATCACCCCGCCCCATTCTCCCGCTTTCCATCACCCCGCCCCATTCTCCCGATTTCCATCACCCCGCCCCATTCAACCGCTTTCCATCACCCCGCCCCATTCTCCCGTTTTCCATCACCCCGCCCCATTCTCCCGCTTTCCATCACCCCGCCCCATTCTCCCGCTTTCCATCACCCCGCCCCATTCTCCCGTTTTCCATCACCCCGCCCCATTCTCCCGCTTTCCATCACCCCGCCCCATTCTCCCGCTTTCCATCACCCGCCCCATTCTCCCGCTTTCCATCACCCCGCCCCATTCTCCCGCTTTCCATCACCCCGCCCCATTCTCCCGCTTTCCATCACCCCGCCCCATTCTCCCTCTTTCCATCACCCCGCCCCATTCTGGTCCACGTGTTTGTTGGACCAACAAGCCAGTTGGTCCACGTGTTTGTTGGACCAACAAGCCAGTTGGTCCACGTGTTTGTTGGACCAACAAGCCAGTTGCTCCACGTGTTTGTTGGACCAACAAGCCAGTTGCTCCACGTGTTTGTTGGACCAACAAGCCAGTTGGTCCACGTGTTTGTTGGACCAACAAGCCAGTTGCTCGACCTGTTTGTTGGACCAACAAGCCAGTTGGTCGACGTGTTTGTTGGACCAACAAGCCAGGTGGTCGACGTGTTTGATGGACCAACAAGCCAGGTGGTCGACGTGTTTGATGGACCAACAAGCCAGGTGGTCGACGCGTTTGTTGGACAACAAGCCAGGTGGTCGACGCGTTTGTTGGACCAACAAGCCAGTTGGTCGACGTGTTTGATGGACCAACAAGCCAGGTGGTCGACGTGTTTGATGGACCAACAAGCCAGGTGGTCGACGAGTTTGATGGAGTAACAAGCCAGCTGGTCCACGTGTTTGTTGGACCAACAAGCCAGGTTGTCCACGTGTTTGTTGGACCAACAAGCCAGTTGGTCCACGTGTTTGTTGGACCAACAAGCCAGGTTGTCCACGTGTTTCATGGACCAACAAGCCAGTTGGTCGACGTGTTTGATGGACCAACAAGCCAGTTGGTCCACGTGTTTGTTGGACCAACAAGCCAGTTGGTCGACGTGTTTGATGGACCAACAAGCCAGTTGGTCCACGTGTTTGTTGGACCAACAAGCCAGTTGGTCCACGTGTTTGATGGACCAACAAGCCAGCTGGTCCGCGTGTTTGTTGGACCAACAAGCCAGCTGGTCCGCGTGTTTGTTGGACCAACAAGCCAGTTGGTCCGCGTGTTTGATGGACCAACAAGCCAGTTGGTCCGCGTGTTTGATGGACCAACAAGCCAGTTGGTCCGCGTGTTTGATGGACCAACAAGCCAGTTGGTCCGCGTGTTTGATGGACCAACAAGCCAGTTGGTCCGCGTGTTTGATGGACCAACAAGCCAGTTGGTCCGCGTGTTTGATGGACCAACAAGCCAGTTGGTCCGCGTGTTTGATGGACCAACAAGCCAGTTGGTCCGCGTGTTTGATGGACCAACAAGCCAGTTGGTCCGCGTGTTTGATGGACCAACAAGCCTGGTGGTCCGCGTGTTTATTGGACCAACGAGCCAGGTGGTCCGCGTGTTTGATGGACCAACGAGCCAGTTGGTCGACGTGTTTGTTGGACCAACGAGCCAGTTGGTCGACGTGTTTGATGGACCAACGAGCCAGTTGGTCGACGTGTTTGATGGACCAACGAGCCAGTTGGTCCACGTGTTTGATGGACCAACGAGCCAGTTGGTCCACGTGTTTGATGGACCAACGAGCCAGTTGGTCGACGTGTTTGTTGGACCAACGAGCCAGTTGGTCCACGTGTTTGTTGGACCAACAAGCCAGTTGGTCGACGTGTTTGATGGACCAACAAGCCAGTTGGTCCGCGTGTTTGACGTGTTTGTTGGACCAACAAGCCAGTTGGTCCGCGTGTTTGTTGGACCAACAAGCCAGCTGGTCCGCGTGTTTGTTGGACCAACAAGCCAGCTGGTCCGCGTGTTTGTTGGACCAACAAGCCAGCTGGTCCGCGTGTTTGTTGGACCAACAAGCCAGCTGGTCCGCGTGTTTGTTGGACCAACAAGCCAGCTGGTCCGCGTGTTTGTTGGACCAACAAGCCAGTTGGTCCGCGTGTTTGTTGGACCAACAAGCCAGCTGGTCCGCGTGTTTGTTGGACCAACAAGCCAGCTGGTCCGCGTGTTTGTTGGACCAACAAGCCAGCTGGTCCGCGTGTTTGTTGGACCAACAAGCCAGCTGGTCCGCGTGTTTGATGGACCAACAAGCCAGCTGGTCCACGTGTTTGATGAAGGCTTGAAGGATTGAAGGCTTGAAGGCTTGAAGGCTTGAAGGCTTGAGGGCTTGAAGGCTTGAGGGCTTGAAGGCTTGAAGGCTTGAGGGCTTGAGGGCTTGAAGGCTTGAGGGCTTGAGGGCTTGAGGGCTTGAAGGCTTGAGGGCTTGAGGGCTTGAAGGCTTGAGGGCTTGAGGGCTTGAAGGCTTGAAGGCTTGAAGGCTTGAAGGCTTGAGGGCTTGAGGGCTTGAAGGCTTGAAGGCTTGAAGGCTTGAAGGCTTGAAGGCTTGAGGGCTTGAGGGCTTGAGGGCTTGAGGGCTTGAAGGCTTGAGGGCTTGAGGGCTTGAGGGCTTGAAGGCTTGAAGGCTTGAGGGCTTGAGGGCTTGAGGGCTTGAGGGCTTGAAGGCTTGAGGGCTTGAAGGCTTGAAGGCTTGAAGGCTTGAAGGCTTGAAGGCTTGAGAGCTTGAGGGCTTTAGGGCTTGAGGGCTTGAAAGCTTGAAGGCTTGAAGGCTTGAAGGCTTGAAGGCTTGAAGGCTTGAAGGCTTGAAGGCTTGAGGGCTTGAGGGCTTGAAGGCTCGAAGGCTTGAAGGCTTGAAGACTTAAAGGCTTGAGGGCTTGAGGGCTTGAGGGCTTGAGGGCTTGAAGGCTTGAGGGCTTGAGGGCTTGAGGGCTTGAAGGCTTGAAGGCTTGAGGGCTTGAGGGCTTGAGGGCTTGAGGGCTTGAAGGCTTGAGGGCTTGAAGGCTTGAAGGCTTGAAGGCTTGAAGGCTTGAAGGCTTGAGGGCTTGAGGGCTTGAGGGCTTGAGGGCTTGAAGGCTTGAAAGCTTGAAGGCTTGAAGGCTTGAAGGCTTGAAGGCTTGAAGGCTTGAAGGCTTGAAGGCTTGAAGGCTTGAGGGCTTGAGGGCTTGAAGGCTTGAGGGCTTGAAGGCTTGAAGGCTTGAAGGCTTGAAGGCTTGAAGGCTTGAAGGCTTGAAGGCTTGAAGGCTTGAAGGCTTGAAGGCTTGAGGGCTTGAGGGCTTGAAGGCTTGAGGGCTTGAAGGCTTGAAGGCTTGAAGGCTTGAAGGCTTGAAGGCTTGAGGGCTTGAGGGCTTGAAGGCTTGAAGGCTTGAAGGCTTGAAGGCTTGAGGGCTTGAAGGCTTGAAGGATTGAAGGCTTGAAGGCTTGAAGGCTTGAAGGCTTGAGGGCTTGAGGGCTTGAGGGCTTGAGGGCTTGAAGGCTTGAAGGCTTGAGGGCTTGAGGGCTTGAAGGCTTGAGGGCTTGAAGGCTTGAAGGCTTGAGGGCTTGAAGGCTTGAAGGCTTGAGGGCTTGAGGGCTTGAGGGCTTGAGGGCTTGAGGGCTTGAGGGCTTGAGGGCTTGAGGGCTTGAAGGCTTGAAGGCTTGAAGGCTTGAAGGCTTGAAGGCTTGAAGGCTTGAAGGCTTGAGGGCTTGAGGGCTTGAAGGCTTGAAGGCTTGAAGGCTTGAAGGCTTGAGGGCTTGAAGGATTGAAGGCTTGAAGGCTTGAAGGCTTGAAGGCTTGAGGGCTTGAGGGCTTGAGGGCTTGAGGGCTTGAAGGCTTGAAGGCTTGAGGGCTTGAGGGCTTGAGGGCTTGAGGGCTTGAGGGCTTGAAGGCTTGAAGGCTTGAGGGCTTGAAGGCTTGAAGGCTTGAGGGCTTGAGGGCTTGAGGGCTTGAGGGCTTGAGGGCTTGAGGGCTTGAGGGCTTGAGGGCTTGAGGGCTTGAAGGCTTGAAGGCTTGAAGGCTTGAAGGCTTGAAGGCTTGAAGGCTTGAGGGCTTGAAGGCTTGAAGGATTGAAGGCTTGAAGGCTTGAAGGCTTGAAGGCTTGAGGGCTTGAGGGCTTGAGGGCTTGAGGGCTTGAAGGCTTGAAGGCTTGAGGGCTTGAGGGCTTGAAGGCTTGAGGGCTTGAAGGCTTGAAGGCTTGAGGGCTTGAAGGCTTGAAGGCTTGAGGGCTTGAGGGCTTGAGGGCTTGAGGGCTTGAGGGCTTGAGGGCTTGAGGGCTTGAGGGCTTGAAGGCTTGAAGGCTTGAAGGCTTGAAGGCTTGAAGGCTTGAAGGCTTGAAGGCTTGAGGGCTTGAGGGCTTGAAGGCTTGAAGGCTTGAAGGCTTGAAGGCTTGAGGGCTTGAAGGATTGAAGGCTTGAAGGCTTGAAGGCTTGAAGGCTTGAGGGCTTGAGGGCTTGAGGGCTTGAGGGCTTGAAGGCTTGAAGGCTTGAGGGCTTGAGGGCTTGAGGGCTTGAGGGCTTGAGGGCTTGAAGGCTTGAAGGCTTGAGGGCTTGAAGGCTTGAAGGCTTGAGGGCTTGAGGGCTTGAGGGCTTGAGGGCTTGAGGGCTTGAGGGCTTGAGGGCTTGAGGGCTTGAGGGCTTGAAGGCTTTAAGACTTGAAGGCTTGAAGGCTTGAAGGCTTGAAGGCTTGAGGGCTTGAAGGCTTGAGGGCTTGAGGGCTTGAAGGCTTGAAGGCTTGAAGGCTTGAAGGCTTGAGGGCTTGAGGGCTTGAGGGCTTGAAGGCTTGAAGGCTTGAAGGCTTGAAGGCTTGAGGGCTTGAGGGCTTGAAGGCTTGAAGGCTTGAAGGCTTGAAGGCTTGAAGGCTTGAGGGCTTGAGGGCTTGAGGGCTTGAGGGCTTGAAGGCTTGAGGGCTTGAGGGCTTGAGGGCTTGAAGGCTTGAAGGCTTGAGGGCTTGAGGGCTTGAGGGCTTGAGGGCTTGAAGGCTTGAGGGCTTGAAGGCTTGAAGGCTTGAAGGCTTGAGAGCTTGAGGGCTTTAGGGCTTGAGGGCTTGAAAGCTTGAAGGCTTGAAGGCTTGAAGGCTTGAAGGCTTGAAGGCTTGAAGGCTTGAGGGCTTGAGGGCTTGAAGGCTTGAAGGCTTGAAGGCTTGAAGGCTTGAAGGCTTGAGGGCTTGAGGGCTTGAGGGCTTGAGGATCTTGAAGGCTTGAGGGCTTGAGGGCTTGAGGGCTTGAAGGCTTGAAGGCTTGAGGGCTTGAGGGCTTGAGGGCTTGAGGGCTTGAAGGCTTGAGGGCTTGAAGGCTTGAAGGCTTGAAGGCTTGAAGGCTTGAAGGCTTGAGGGCTTGAGGGCTTGAGGGCTTGAGGGCTTGAAGGCTTGAAAGCTTGAAGGCTTGAAGGCTTGAAGGCTTGAAGGCTTGAAGGCTTGAAGGCTTGAAGGCTTGAAGGCTTGAGGGCTTGAGGGCTTGAAGGCTTGAGGGCTTGAAGGCTTGAAGGCTTGAAGGCTTGAAGGCTTGAGGGCTTGAGGGCTTGAAGGCTTGAAGGCTTGAAAGCTTGAAGGCTTGAAGGCTTGAAGGCTTGAAGGCTTGAAGGCTTGAAGGCTTGAGGGCTTGAGGGCTTGAAGGCTTGAGGGCTTGAAGGCTTGAAGGCTTGAAGGCTTGAAGGCTTGAAGGCTTGAGGGCTTGAGGGCTTGAAGGCTTGAAGGCTTGAAGGCTTGAAGGCTTGAGGGCTTGAAGGCTTGAGGGCTTGAGGGCTTGAGGGCTTGAGGGCTTGAAGGCTTGAAGGCTTGAGGGCTTGAGGGCTTGAGGGCTTGAAGGCTTGAGGGCTTGAAGGCTTGAAGGCTTGAGGGCTTGAAGGCTTGAAGGCTTGAGGGCTTGAGGGCTTGAGGGCTTGAGGGCTTGAGGGCTTGAGGGCTTGAGGGCTTGAAGGCTTGAAGGCTTGAAGGCTTGAAGGCTTGAAGGCTTGAAGGCTTGAGAGCTTGAGGCTTTAGGGCTTGAGGGCTTGAAAGCTTGAAGGCTTGAAGGCTTGAAGGCTTGAAGGCTTGAGGGCTTGAAGGCTTGAAGGCTTGAAGGCTTGAAGGCTTGAGGGCTTGAAGGCTTGAAGGCTTGAGGGCTTGAAGGCTTGAAGGCTTGAAGGCTTGAAGGCTTGAGGGCTTGAGGGCTTGAAGGCTTGAAGGCTTGAAAGCTTGAAGGCTTGAAGGCTTGAAGGCTTGAAGGCTTGAGGGCTTGAAGGCTTGAAGGCTTGAGGGCTTGAGGGCTTGAAGGCTTGAGGGCTTGAAGGCTTGAAGGCTTGAAAGCTTGAAGGCTTGAAGGCTTGAAGGCTTGAAGGCTTGAAGGCTTGAAGGCTTGAGGGCTTGAGGGCTTGAAGGCTTGAGGGCTTGAAGGCTTGAAGGCTTGAAGGCTTGAAGGCTTGAGGGCTTGAGGGCTTGAAGGCTTGAAAGCTTGAAGGCTTGAAGGCTTGAAGGCTTGAAGGCTTGAAGGCTTGAGGGCTTGAGGGCTTGAAGGCTTGAGGGCTTGAAGGCTTGAAGGCTTGAAGGCTTGAAGGCTTGAAGGCTTGAGGGCTTGAGGGCTTGAAGGCTTGAAGGCTTGAAGGCTTGAAGGCTTGAGGGCTTGAAGGCTTGAAGGATTGAAGGCTTGAAGGCTTGAAGGCTTGAAGGCTTGAGGGCTTGAGGGCTTGAGGGCTTGAGGGCTTGAAGGCTTGAAGGCTTGAGGGCTTGAGGGCTTGAGGGCTTCAAGGCTTGAGGGCTTCAAGGTTCGAAGGCTTGAGGGCTTGAAGGCTTGAAGGCTTGAGGGCTTGAGGGCTTGAGGGCTTGAGGGCTTGAGGGCTTGAGGGCTTGAGGGCTTGAAGGCTTGAAGGCTTGAAGGCTTGAAGGCTTGAAGGCTTGAAGGCTTGAGAGCTTGAGGGCTTTAGGGCTTGAGGGCTTGAAAGCTTGAAGGCTTGAAGGCTTGAAGGCTTGAAGGCTTGAAGGCTTGAAGGCTTGAAGGCTTGAAGGCTTGAGGGCTTGAGGGCTTGAAGGCTTGAGGGCTTGAAGGCTTGAAGGCTTGAAGGCTTGAAGGCTTGAGGGCTTGAGGGCTTGAAGGCTTGAGGGCTTGAAGGCTTGAAGGCTTGAAGGCTTGAAGGCTTGAAGGCTTGAGGGCTTGAGGGCTTGAAGGCTTGAAGGCTTGAAGGCTTGAAGGCTTGAGGGCTTGAAGGATTGAAGGATTGAAGGCTTGAAGGCTTGAAGGCTTGAAGGCTTGAAGGATTGAAGGCTTGAAGGCTTGAAGGCTTGAAGGCTTGAGGGCTTGAGGGCTTGAGGGATCGAGGGCTTGAAGGCTTGAGGGCTTGAGGGCTTGA